AAAAAAAAAAAAAATCACAGAACTGAAAGCTGAAGAATGATTAGGCACTAACTATGTGAAGAAGGAAAGTGAGTTCCAAGCAGATAAATAAACAACAAAAAGGCCCTATGGTGAAAGGGAATGAAGCCTAAATTTAAAAAGATCAGCATGGCTGAGGGCCAGAGAAAAAGGGGATGGATGAGGGGAAGGAAGGGAGAGCTACTCTGAAGTTCAGCTGAATAAGTGGCAATTCCATTCCTGGAAACAGGAAATACTGGAAGAGGACCAAGCTGGGACTGAGAAGATCATAAGGTCAATTTTGAACACGTGGAGTTGAGGGAACCTTTGGAAAATCCAAGCAGAACTATCACCTGGGCAGCTGGAAATATAGGATATGTAAGTTTGGAATTTGTAGGTAACCTCTGGGCTAGAGATGTAAACATGGGAGACAAATGTGAGCACGTGTGGTTGAAGCAGGGGGGCAGGCCTGGGGGGAGCTGCCTATGAGAGTAAGAGAAAGGGTCCTGCAACCAACACTGAATGCCTAAGAGCTGGAGAGAGTAACCATAATGGAGCCTGGAAGGAGTGGCCTGAGAAATGCTCCATCACAGAAGCTAAGGGAGCAGCGTGTATCCAGGAGGAAGTAGTAGTCAGCAGCGTCCAACATTGCTGTAAGGCTCCATAAGATGTCAAGTGACTGATAGGACCCTGCTTACCCAACTTAGCAGCATTACTGGATAGACCTGGTACCTGAAAGGTGGGGCCTATTAGATCTTCTTTGACTTGGATATTAGAGGCTCACCTGTTAGCAGCTTCAAGGGAAAGAGGAACAGAAGAACCAAGATCCAAGCATTTGCCATTGTATGCCATGACCTGGCCTCAGGAACTGGCTCAAATTGGAGTTAAGAACAGATATCAGCCTAGACACAGCCTCTGTTCCAAAGCTGGTTAAATATGTATAGCTTTAAAACTAGGGCAATTCTTGAGATCTGACACCAGGGTGCAGGGCAGGGGGCTCCTCCTCTCCCACAGTTGGCAAGGCGCCTGGACTGAGGCGTCCAACTACAGCAACAGCATAGCAAAGCACCAAACCCACTCACCTGGTAAGACACCTGGACCTTGGACTTTGACTGTCTCCTCGTCCTGCTCGTCTGCCAGCTCTGAGTTCTCAACCACCTGGTCCAACTCCTCACTCAGCTAAAGGGAGAAGCAAAAAGAGCAAAACTGAGTCAGCCGTGTCAGCCTTGCTTTTCTAGACTAGAATAAGAAAGCAGAAGCTGTTTCTCACTTAATTGTCACCAAAAACCACATGATGTAGAGTGCATTACAGCAATTTTACAGATGAGGACACCAAAGCTCAGAAAGCTCAAGAAACTTTCTGCCTGTTATGTTCCTAGGACTACTGTAGGAAGTACCACAAACTGAACAGCTTAAAATAACAGAAATGTCTTCTCTCACAGTTCTGGAGGCCAGAAGTCTAAGTCAAGGTTTTGGCAGGGTTGGTTCCTTCTGCAAGTGGTGAGGGAATCTGTTCCATGCCTCTCTTCTGGCTTCTGGTGACAGCTAGCAATCTTGGCATTCGTTGGCTTGCAGAGGCATCCAATTTCTGCTCTCTGCTGCCATCTTCACAAGGTGTTCTGTGTGTCTTCACATGGTCGTCGTCTTTAAGGACACCAGCAATGTTGGATTAGGGGCCCACCCTACTCCTATATGTCCTCATCTTAACTAATTACACCTGCATTGACCCCATTTCCAAACAAGGTCGCAATGAGGTACCTGGGGTTAGGACTTCAACATATCTTTTTTAAGGAAACACAATTCAACGAACACAAGGCCAGGGAAAGATACAGCCAGGAATCAAATCCAAGCTGGTCTGGTTCCAAAGCCTATGGTCTTAACCACTTCCCAAAGGAAGAGGAAATGTGGATTAGAGTCTGCTGAAAGAGAATAGGCAACAGTGAAGGTGGTGTCAGAGCTCTCTCTGGCACTCCGGCCGAAGTCCACCAACTTGGGCTGCAAATAGCAGAACAAAGCAGGAGGGGCAGGCAGTCCATCACAGGGCTAGGTGCTAATTATAATCAGCAACCTGGTAGCCGGCAACCACAACCTCAACCTCACTTCACCAGTGGTCTCACCTGTCAAATGAGGAAATTATACCGCTGAGAAGGGTAGAAGGATGGAAAGGATACCATTATAATCAACAAGTCTCTGCAGGATGAAGTAGAAGGGCAAGAGAGGTCAAGACTAGAACTTAGAAGGGATGTCATTCCTGAATTGGAAGGGAGAGGGGACAGCTTTCCCAAGCATTTTTTCAGGCTCACAGCATCAGTGTTTAAGGTTTCAAGACATTTTCATTAAAAACTCTTCTCCAAGAGAGGAGTGAAAAACAGCTCTTATGCATCTGTTTTTCGATCTCCCTCCCCACAACTCCACTCCAGCCCCTTATCATCAGGCAAACCTCCAGTTTAAAGCCCTCTAAGCACAAAAGAAAAGGCTGAGTGGGGGGCTTGGCATGGTGGCTCATGCCTGTAATTCGAGCACTTTGGGAGGCTGAGGTGGGCGAATCTCTTGAGATCAGGAGTTCGAGACAAGTCCGGTCAACATGAAGCCCCATCTCTACTAAAAAATACGAAAATTAGCTGGGCATGGTAGTACACACCTGTAGTGCCAGCTACCTGGGAGGCTGAGGCAGGAGAATCTATTGAACCTCAGAGGCAGAGGTTGCAGTGAGACAATATCACACCATTGCACTCCAGCCTGGGCGACAAAAATGAAACTCTATCTCAAAAAAAAAAAAAAAGAAAACAGGAAAGCAACCAGTGAGAAAGGGGCAGGGAGGCTGGCGAAGGCACCAAGAGATATAAGCCACTAGCGGGAGCACAGATAAAGAAGTCCCCAGAGGTTTCGCTGGCCAAAGGGAGAGGAGGATGTTAGTTCTAGGAAGTCTCAAAGTTCCCTAATCCAAGCCTCACCCAGCTTCACCCTGATCCAGGTGCTAACACTCTCCCAGAGAGTTCCCTGATTACCCGCAGCCATAATGAACCTACCTCCTTGCCTGCCCCTGGCCAAATTATCAGTATATCCCACCCTCCCTAAGGCAAAATCCCCCCCTCAGTAAATAAAACTACTCACAGCTAGGTACACTCACAGAATGGTTCAGGCAAGAAAGATGCTGGACATTCTCTGGGTGGCCCCTTTCTTTGAAGAGGGAAGACACAGGTGGTATAGAACAGGCCTCTGAAGAAGGCAAGGGGAAGGAACCCTTCCAGTGCTTTCCACCTTAGAGATGCCTCCAAAGAGAAACTGTGTCCACTTGGGCCTTGGCCCTGCAAGTGGGATAAGTGCCTATTATTTTAATATTTTATGAGCCCTGCTAGGTGAGGAGATACGGCTGGCTATGTGTGGCTGGTGAGGCTCATATTCCTGCTTACCCAGGACCCCAAGGCACCCTAGACGCAGGAGCTGCCCACACCCTGTTAACAAGAGCTATTATTCACTGTGGGGTCACTATCTGCCAGACACTGAGCCAAGCACTTTCCACACCAACTTATTTAATCCCCAACCAACCCTAGGAGGTAGAGACTTTTATTAATCTTCATCTTTCAGACAAAGAAACTGAGGCTCAGAAACTTATGTGACTTGATAAAAGTCACACAAATGGCGAGAGACAAAGCCAAGACAGGAATGTGGGCTTTCTGACTTGAAATCCCTAGTATTTGTCCACTGTGACTATCAACCAAAAATCAACCAAAAATTCCCCAGGATTCCCTCACTGTTTAGGGTGCAGAATCTAGGGGCCATGGAATCCACAACATTGGTTAAAATCCCTCAGACTCCATTCAGACAAAGAAAACAGATGGAATAAAGGAGATGGGAGGAGAAATACAGAAATCTGTCCAAGGCCAGATTCCAGCCAAGATCCTACACTAAAAAATGGCAGGCCTTAGGCAAATCTCATCTGCCCTCAACTTGGCTTCTCCCTCCACTGTAGGGCTAAGCCACCTGCTTTATATAGTCCACAAAGCCCTTCTGTGAATCAGAGTCTCTTTACAAAGGGAGGTATGTACAGCAGTAACTATTGACTAAGGCAGAAGGCAGCAAGTTCACATGAGAAGGCCAAACAGAACGCCAGACCAGTCTGGAAAGTCAACCCCCACGGAGCACATGGAACTTGAAGTAGCCTTTGACTTATGGGGGCGTTTTACCCAGTGAAGTTTGGCGGAGGGTTGGCGAAAAAATGGTGTGAGCAAATGCACAGAAAAAGGAGCACATTTTAAAACTGAGTTTCCATTGTGGCCAGAGCCTAGGCGGGTGAGGAGGTGGCAAGGGTAATGAGAGACACGGCTGCTACGCTGCACGGAGCTTTGGGAGCTTGCTGAGAAGTCTGGACTGTTCTAGGGAGACCAAGGGCAGCGTCACATCTGAGGAAAAAAAGGAATGCTCCGAGGTCAAGGCAGTGCCTCCAGGCAAATCTGGAAAGTATGAGACTAAAGGGAAAGAAGGTAAAACAGTATCACACTCAGAGGTTACAGCAAACACAGGGACACAAACTGGAGGAGGACGGGTGCCTACCCTTGGCCAGTGAGGGGGCACGGTGGAGGGGCACAGAAGAGGACGGTTGCCAAAGACGACCAAGGTCTGGGGCCCGAGAAGAGGAGGAGGAGGAGAGCAGTTTCACTAATTACAGCTGGAGAAGTCAGGAGGCAGGGCTGGCCTGAAGGAAGCGCTGAACGCAAAGCCTGCAGCGCAGGAAAGAGAAAAGACAAAGAACTGGAAAAGTGGCAAAGTCGTGGGAGGAGGTGAGACTGGAGGGAGAGACGGAGAGGAAGGAGCAGCAGCAAAGTCCATGAAGGCACTTTTTCACAGTTAGGCGGTCACCAAAAAACAGGTAATCAATCCTGTCACCAGCCGCGGAGACCGTGAGGTCTTGGGCTCGGAGGGGGAGGATGCCCACGACGCCAACCGCGCATCTGCTCTCGCCGGGAGGAGGGCGCGGGCGCTCCACTTGTTGCAAAGAACGCCGGGTTCCTCGGGCCACCAGGCTGCCGCTCCGGCTGGGAGCGCGGAAAGCTGGGCCTGACGTAGCTTTAATCATTCACCTGCTGTTTACGGGTCGCGGTGCCAGGGACCGTACTCCGGCCCTCGGCCAAACGACCCGCAGCATCTGGAGGAGGCTGGGCGCCCGCTACGCCACCTCGCTTTCTTCCTGCCCCTGGGCCGCTCTTCTGTACCCCCGGAGCCCTCTACAGACGCACCCGCAGGTCCCTCCGAAGAGCCCTGGGCCGTGCAGCCCTGACGCCCCCGCCCCGACCCCTGGGACCCTGCTCCTCCGCCTCACAGGAAACCTCCCTTCCGTCTCTCACAACCTCCTACCTCCTGGTAGGATGTGGAGCGCTCCTGCCGGATCATGGCACTGACCAGAGCTTCGGCACACCTGAGACCGCCACTGCCCGCGGCGCAGGGAGGCAGCACTGCGGCCGCAGCACCTGGACCTGCGAGCTCCGCGAGGCGAAACCGGTCCAGAAGGGCGTCCCCGAGACCAGGCGTGGCGGTACTCGGCGCATGCGCCTGGCCGCTGCCGCCCTGGAGCCGCAAAAGGGTTGCTGGGAAATGTAGTTCTGATTGGAGGCGGCCCTCACACCCCTAGGGGCGGCAAAGCTTGCCTGTGACCCTGGGCCAACCAAACTAGTCCTTAGACATTTGCCTCTGCGTCTCTCACTTCCTCTCTTTGTTGGAGGGGGAGGGACGGAGAAGAGGAGTAGAAAGTGGAACAAAGTCAGATGAGAGATAGTAGAAGCCCCTAAACTGTAATTGCAAGAGGAAGCTTGGCCTGGCAGTTTAGAACCGTAATGAATGTCTGGAGAGCACTTTGTATGTTACAAAGCGCTCTCACTCACGTTATGCCCTTGATTCTGCAAGGAACCCTGTAGGAGGACATTTTTCTCCCTCTTTTACAAATGAGGAAACTGAGGTACTTTGTTTCAGAAAGGATGCGGGTGGAGCGGTAATCAAGTGAAGATTATTTCTTCCAGGGTAGACTACAGAGCCGATGTTCTCTCCATTATTCCAAGGGCAGGAGTACCCCTAGGTTCCTGTCCTGGCTCTGACCTTCACCATTAGGTCTTGCAATACTCTAAGCCCTCCTCTCCTCGCCTTAGAATGCAACTGCTAAACCCTGCCCTGCCTGACAAGGCCTATGTAAGCAAAAAGAAAAGATCGTGCAGAGAAAGCCCAAAGGCACTGTTCAGCCACAGAAGAAGCCTCAAGCCCTAAATATGGCCTAAAATCTGGTGTTGGCACTGTGGCAGGGTGGACCTGAAGGCCACATCTTCCTCTCCTCCCACTGCCTGAAACAGCTGTTGTGTGGGGGCCCTCAGCTGCTTAGTGGTGAAGCAGATAGAGGCTGCTTGTTGTGCCTCGGTGAATGCTGCTCTGTGTCCCTTGCAGCTGCAGCTTGGTAACCCCTCCACTCAGGCCACTGGGAGCCTCTTCCCTCCTCAGTCATAAGCAGAGTAGCACCAGCCATATCAAAGAACTCTGGACCTCCTGGAGCATTAGCAATGGGAGGTACCCATCACCTCTCCTGAACACTCATCCCTATCCCTGGCCTTCTGCTCTTACATCTGTTATATGGGACAATATACATTGTGCCTAACACATCGTAGGTACTCAACAAATGTTTGTTAAATTTATGAATGGAACACTGATTCCAGCCATTTCATTTAACAGTTGTTTACCAAAACAAATCAATAACAACAGACCACTAATTAAATTCCTTATTGCGTTAATACAAGGGTATTTGATAGAACAAGTTCACACGATCATAGAATTTTAGAGCTAGAAGGAACAAGAGAATTCTATTCCAACCCTATCTTTCTTCTCTGGTCTTTGTTGGTATGACCACACTGGAAAATTATGGGCTCCCACATTTGAAGGAGATACTGGCTAATAAAATATAAAACATGGCTTAACAAATATAATGTGCTGGGTACTGGGATACGGAAATGAATAAGGTACCCTTGGGTCTTGGCTTTTGTGGCTCTTTCATGCTAGTGTGGAGAGACAGAGCATAAACAGGTGATGGGTTGGTAGATGCAGCAAACCACCATGACACACCTTTACCTATGTAACAAACCTGCACATTTTCTGCACATGTATCCTGGAACTTGAAATTAAAAAGAAAAGGGTGCAGTGGCTCACGCCTGTAATCCCAGCACTTTGGGATGCGGAGATGAGTGAATCACGACGTCAGGAGTTCGAGACCATCCTGATCAACATGGTGACACCCCCCCCCTACTAAAAATACAACAAATTAGCTGGGTGTAGTGGCAGGTGCCTGTAATCCCAGTTACTCGAGAGGCTGAGACAGGGGAATTGTTTGAACCTGGGAGGCAGAGGTTGCAGGCAGCGGAGATCACGCCACTGCACTCCAGCCCAGGTGACAGAGTGAGACTCCATCTCAAAATAAAAATAAATAAATAAAACTAAATAAATAAAAGAATACTTTCCATTTTTCTTGCAGGCGACTAACTGATTCCAAGTGCTTTGGAAAAATATGTCTGGCTTCAAGTAGAAAATGACAATCACGGGTGCCTGGAGAAATCCAAGAGCCTAAGAGCATGCTATTCATGTGTAGACTCATCCTTAGCATCTCAGGGAGTGGGGAGCTGTATGTGATCGGTAGAAATTACAAGGATCTTTTGGCTTAAAGATGTTCCTAACAAACAGAACTGTAGAAAGAGAAAGGTCCCAAGCAGAGAAGCAGCACGAGGTATGATATGGATGTTATAGTGACACGTATCAGGAAGGGGATGATATTCTATTCGGGATTTTCAAGGGCCTCCTACAGCCCAGAGATCTTGTGACACAGTGTAACATAGATGCTGCACTTTGAGCTTTACAAGTCCACTACCATCGTTAGTTTTAACACAATGCTATAAAAGAGGTAGACTGGCATGCTACTAATGTGGAAATTGAGATTCAGAGTAAGGTTAGTGGACACAGATCCTGTTTAGGTCACTCTGCACTAGAAGAACATACTGTCTTTCTGTTTTTTGTTTTTTTGAGACAGAGTTTTGTTGTTGTTGCCGAGCCTGGAGTGCAATGGCATGATCTCAGCTTACTGCAACCTCCGCCTCCTGGGTTCAAGTGATTCTCCTGCTTCAGACTCCAGAGTAGCTGGGATTACAGGCATGTGCTGCCACGTTAGCCTAATTTTATATTTTTAGTAGAGATAGGGTTTCTCCGTGTTGGTCATCCTGGTCTTGACCTTCCAGCCTCAGGTGATCCGCCTGCCTCAGCCTCCCAAAGTGCTGGGATTACAGGTGTGAGCCACCACGCCTTATTTAACTTATTTAACTTACTTATTTAACCCAGCCCCATCTTGTTAAATAAGTAAAAGTATAAACATTTGGTATAGTTGCTGGGGGGAAGTATAGCCTGGTGGGTAGGGGCAGGCTGTAGGACACATAACCTGTGCTTGACTTGGCTCTGTCACCTACTGTGAGAGCTAGGTGAGGTACTTAAGGTTCCCTGACATAGGAACAGTTATGTCACAGAGTTAAAGTGAGGATTAAACGAGCTTAGAAATATCAAAGTGCTGAAACCAATACCTGGCACACAGCGAGCCCTTCTCTGGTCTCCTTTGCCCGTTCTCCCAACCACCAGATGTTACGAGCTCAGTCTTCTCTGTCCACATGCACATCCCTTGGCAATCTCATCCATTCCTGTGGCTTTACATACAGCACCTATGCCAGTGAATTCCAAAATGTCTATCTCCAGCCCGGAACTCTCCCCTCATTCTAGACTTGTATATTTAATTGCCAGTTTGATACATTCAGTTAGATGTCTAACACACACCACAAAGTGAACAAGCCCCCAGTTGATCTTGATCTTCTCCTCCAATATTTGCTCCTGTATCAATAAATGGCAATTCCATCTTTCCAGTTGCCCAGGCCAACACCTGTGAAGTCACTCTTGACTCCCCTCTGCTTCTCACATCCCAAGTCTCATCTGTCAGCAAATTCTATCAGTCACATCTTCAAAACACATCCATAGTCAGCCACCTCTCACCACCTCCACAGGCATCACCCTGGTCCAAGCAACCATCATCTCCCATCCAGATTATTGCGGTAGCCTCCCGGCTTTAGCCAGCGTTATTCCATTATCATTTAAACTTACTCTGTTGCAGGTGTCCTAACCAGAGTTACTCCATCTTGAATAAAGGCCAGATAAAGCCAAACCTGCAGGGTGACTTTCCCAGGAAGTTAGGCACTCTTCATCACAAGATGTCTAGGATTGAGGAAACGAGTTAACAGAAAAAGGCATTCTTAGTTTAAACATGGATTTTACTGTAATAATACCATTAATAATATACCCATAAACACTTGCTGAAATCAATAGTTACACAAGAGACTATGAATACTAATATCCTGTCACAAGCTGATCACAAGACTTTGTAATAAAGTATACTATTCTTAGCCCTAATATCCTGTATAAGCAAGCATTACATCAAGGTAGGGGTGTTCCTCCTCTTGCTTTCTGAGCATGCCCTACTCTGTAATAGAGTGGTTTCTAACAAACCATTTAAACTTTACTATACTCTGTGACTTTCCCTGAATTATTTCCCTGCAAGATCTAAGAACCTGCTCTTGGGGTTTGGGATGAGACCCCTTTTCTGGTAACATTTTCTCATTACATCTCCACCAGGACCTTAACGCGGTGAGACCCCTGCGTCCCCGCCAACCCAAAGGCAATAGACTGTGCAGCACCAATTGGAAAATATTTTTATACGGTAAAGGACAGGGGTACCTGTCCAATATTGGGTTATAGGCCCAATTAGGAAGGTTTGGAGGCCCTCCACATCCTCACAGCTGGATAGGAATTCAGTGCTGCAAGATATTAATATCATTCCCTTTTAGCCCTCCTTGCGCTCTCTGCTACTCATTAAATGCTGCTACCTGCCAGTTTCCTGATTTCTGTCTATGCTTTACTGCTGCTTTTCAGAGGCCTCACTTGACCAGTCCTGGTATTTTTTTTTTTTTTTTTTTTTTTTTTGAGATGGAGTCTGGCTCTGTCCCCAGGCTGGAGTGCTGT